TAATCACATGTATGAAACTAAATATAGCAGTGTCAGCGCTTCCAAAAAAAAAAAAAAAAAAAAAAGTAAAATAACTTGTGGAGCCATCACAGAAGGTAAAGAAGCAAAGTCCTTCCTTACAACTTTCAAGGGCCTCAAAGGCCTGGCCGTCATGTCGGCTCTTTCACATTTAATGAAGTTTTTTCGCACTTCAACCTCAAGTGGCTCAGCGCAGCCGGGTCCTCCGGGAACTCGAGCAAGTCCTGCACAGACGGGCTGACTAACAACACCAGCTGCTGACATGTGAATATGTTTATATGAACCTGCACGTCCTTGCATGATGAGACAGAGAGTCAAGAGGAAGAAGAATAACAGTTATACTATTGGTCCTGCAAGTTACTGCTGAAACAGTGAGTCGATTATTCAAATAGTCTTGGATGTATCGAGCAACAATGGCAAACATTTAGCGGTTTCAGCTTCTCAAATGTGAGAATTTGTTACTTTTCTCTGTTATTTATTGTAAATTGAATATCTTTGGTCAGAAAATACAAACGGTGTGTAGATATAACTGTGATGGGCACTTTCACTAGGTTTCGACTCAAATATATATCAAAAAGATAACAGATCTCTCAAAAGCTAATGAAATTCATCAAATCAAGTTAGCTACAGCCCCACCTACTACCAGTACACAGAAGCTCTACAGAAAAAGACACATAATTGGTGAATGCACCAGTAAAAAACACTAATATGACAGAATCCTTTGTATTTGCACCTTTGAAGTCAGCAAAAATAAACAGAACACATCCTCTGCTTCCAACTAGAAGTGGTCAAATATAATATGAGTGTGAGCGAGTTTAGTCCTAACGTACTCAAGTCACACGTGTAAATACTTCTCCTGATAATTCAGCATTTCATGCCTAGTTTAGCCAGCCCCAAGGCTTTCTGGGTGATTAGCATGGCATTTCCATTTGCAAGCCTTCGGGCACTGCAATCTGGAAGAGAATGATTTGGACATTTTAGATGCACCAAATGTTTGGAAAAGGTTTCTCTGCCTCAAGGCCCAGAAACATATTTTTTAAATATCTTTAAACACATTCAATAAAACGTATATTTTTCAGATTTAGTAGTGCTGGGTGTAAACAGGCTACCCTGCTATCTGCCATCTCAGTCAAAAAGCTTCAACTGCACCGAAGGTGCAAGAACGTGGCTTCAAGTGAACTAGTTATGTCACTATACGAGAAGCGCTTCGTTAAATCGGCAACGACAGACGCATTAAACAGCCTGAAGGCGGTGTTGAAAGTTGATGCTGTGGTGGTCAGTGTTTGATGAAGGTGGGCTTTGTGGAGTCCAAGATCAGTGCAGAGGAGCTCTGCGGCTATTACAACTGTCCTTGGACTCCGACACGCGCTTACTGAAGGACAAAGCTTCCAGCGCTCTCTGTGCTTTCATGAAAGATACATGCAGGATCAAAATTGCGGGTATCAAGTATCACAGTGTTCAGTGCGTGCGCAGTCACAGAGATATACTGCTAAATATAATATCAGTGTGAGCGAGGTCACGCACGTTGGTGTGAATACATGTGTTAATGTGAAAATGAAAGCTACAGCTGTGTCCACTGAAGCTTTCTATATTTCTCAGCTCTGCTGGAAGTGCAATAATCACATGTTCCATCTCATATAAATGAATATTTTCACAGTAAAAATGTCACCAAGTGACATTGCTGTTGGGGTTAAAGATGTATGATGATCAACAAACAAACAATGGCAGCTCAGTCAGTATGCATTTTTTAGATATATACCACAAGACCCTTCCCTACCTGCGCCAGGGATTAATTTATTGTCAACTCATGCATAATTCAATTGCTGCTCACCTCATCAAAAAGCCCAGACTCAAATACATCCGACCATATTATTTGCCAACGCTAAGAGCCGTCAGGGAACTTTTCTTTTTTTTTCCCCCAACAAAATAAAACTTTTGCTCCCCAAGTCTTTTGAAGCCGTTTTAAAAAATATTTCTTAAACCCCAATTTATCTACAGGAGTTCTGAAGGGGAGGACCCACAGTGCACAGACAAAGTGCCCGCAAGCACACACCCAAAGAGGATTTCTCAAAGACAAATGAACTTGAGTGGAGCTGGAGGAGAGAGGCAAGTAAAGGGCCAGCAACAGTTAAAGATGTGTTGCTCTCTAAAGGAGCAGCTGACCAACTCTGAATTCTAAGTAGAGGAAAGTTCTGCTTTTTTTTTTTTTTTTTTTTTTCTTGAGGCGCTAAAAGACCAGTTGTGTTGTCTAAGAGGGCCAGATGGGCTTGTGCTCTGTGACTAAACTCTGGGCACGCACGCACACACACACCTCCCGGGCTCTCAAGCTAATCAGCATTCAAAGTAAACGCTCTCTCCTCTCTTCCTACACTCTGTTTCTCATTTCTCTACGCTGCTGATGGTTCCACAGGGAGGACGGGAGTCGCTGCTGTTTATCCACTTATTCCTCGGGGGGGGGGGGGGGGGGGGGGGGGGGGGGGATGGGAGGCTCAGCCAGCAGGAGAGAGTGATGCTGAACAGAGAGATGCAGGGTTCGATCTGCACGCCGTTAGCAAACATTGCGGCAGAGAGAAACCAAACGCCCCCCCAGACATTATACAGCTTACAGTTTCACTTTTACTCCCCAGCAAACTAAGGTAACCTTGATACGCCTGCTCACAAAGTTTAAACCCCTTAATCCTGTTAACCGTGCATTGTACAAAAATATATTTCAGCTACACAAACTCACACCTGTATTTTACTGAGGAGATGGAAAGTCATGAAACCAGTTCAGAGGGAATCGCATTTCACTTTCACTTCTGCAATGACAAGGAAGAATTTTGAGCCTCATAGTTAACATAGATTGGGCTAGTAAATTAATCAACAGTGGGCGGGGTGTGTGTGTGTTTGTGTGTGTGTGTGTATATAAAGTAAAATGACATGTTAGCACCAGTTTACAGCTTGTTTGTAGTCAGTTTTACAGAACAGGAGGCGGAAACACAGCATCATATGCGGCACAAAGAAGCCTCTTAAGAACACCTGTGCTGGTGCACTTAGCGCCCAGGATCTATTGTGAGCTGACGAGGCCGAGGAGAAAGGGCAGCCTATGGACATATTGTCTTAGCACCTCACTTTGTTCCAGAGCTCAAAAAAAGAAACTGCACTCAGAGAGCACTTCACTGTGGTGTTTGATGCCGGTGAAGTACAGAGAGAGAGGGAGAAAAGACAGTAAATTGATGAGCTGCATGTGAGAACAAGAACTGACTTTGATTGGACACCATCAGTTTGGACTTTATTCGTTATTATTGACAAATCAAAAGTGATAACTATCTCAGAAATGAATAAATGTCCTGATTATTCTAAATGATGGCCAGATGCGAGAGCTTTAAACATTTCTGAGAGTAATCTTTGGATTCTGAGAAAAGTCAGATTTCAAAGAATAAAGTCAAAATCCTAAATCAGAAATCTGCGATAGGCTCAGATGAACTTTTCAGATTTGCCACTAATCCTCTTCTGTTAGGCCTGATAGATTGCTTGCGGCCTGTGTTTCAGACCTTTTTTTTTTTTGCGACTATCCTGACTGGTATTTTACTATTATTTTACCAATTTGTTTTTTAAAATTGAAGTAGAGACGATTCACAAAACCCCATGAAAGGTACAAAATCCTGTATTTGGTCGGCTACCACTATTCTATAATGGATAAGCAGACCAGACTCTGACCAGCCTCATTAAATGAAAACTTCTGCTCAACCCAAAGGCAGCACAGAACTAATTTGTTTGTGAGAGAAATTTATAATAATTGATGTCGCTGTGTTAGGATTGACACCCCTGGCATTAGAAAATTAACTTCCTGATTGTTCACTGGTGAATGACTACAGAACAGCTCGGGTAACTTTCTCCACCCGCCAACCCCCGCTATCTCTTGTCATTTAAAATGAAAACGTATTTGCTTTTGTCTACGTCTAGTTGATATTTAAGCCATTCTTTCAGTAGGTTCTTTTAACAAAGAGATGTCTTATGAAAATACAAATTTCACACTGCCAAACCTAGTTTAAAAACAATGACAAAACAAACAAAAAAGGAACAGATATGATGTAGTTTTTAAGGCATTTGGCAACAGTGTTTTTCCAGTGGGGGTGTGAGTGACAGCAGAGCATGATTTACAGTGGCGCCGCTATGGAAGCAGTCACCACACTTCAACAATTATAAATCTAAAACTGTCATAAGACCAATTTGAAGTTGTTGGTTTTTTTTTTGCTGTGGTAAAAACTGAGGGAACTATTTCTCAATGTGTATAAAAATTAATAAGTAGCCTGTCATTTATTCTGGAGGGAGAAAAAAAACAGGCCATCATCATCAAATATTAAATGTACACTCATGAATAGTGTATTTTCATTCTTCCTGGCAATCTATATGCACACTAAGATTATGGAGAACTTTTCAACAAGTCCTCCAAATAAAAACAACAAAATACATCCTCAGACTCATATAAGCGGTTTATGATATGGCCAGTTTGTCCGCGCCTGAAATCTATTAATCACGGTTGAAAAGTACATCTGCTTTATGTGACAACGTGAAGGTTAAAGTCCCAGTGAAATGGGAGTTACTGCGTCTTTAGCTTCTGTACTGTGACACATTTCACAGTGCAACAGGTTAGTTCAGCAGTGTACAGTAACAAGAGGGATGTAAATCAAATCGTTCACATTTGATTGGACCGCTAAAAAATGGGCGGACTGAAGAGTTTAGTGCAGTACAAAGCTACAGAGGATCTCCATTGTCACTAAAAGTTGCAGATTGATTGATGGATGAACATCATGATACTATTACTTGAAATTGGTTGGTACTAGCAAGAAATAAATTATGAGATTAGTCTGCAAGTCCGTTTGCGGGGCTAAGATCAAGACCCCCCCTTACCATTATACAATTTCTCTGTAGGATAAATACTACACTTTATGGGATGACCACCAGCCCATAATACTCAGCTTTTTTAACTCTTCACATACCTGCTTGTCCTTGTCCTTGTTTTTCCCACTGCCCGACACCCGCGATGAGGTGACATCACGGGGGATGACAGAGATCTGGTGCAGTGGCATGTTCATCCCAGCAGAGCAAACCAGGGACGTTCACACTTCCTGTCCTGTTGCCAGAGCAAAGGGCATGATGGTCTGAATTGCGACACCTTGCCCGCGCTGCCCTGCAGAGGACACACAGAGGACAGACGGAGATTAGCTACGAGGTAATTGAAAACACATTCAAATAACATATAATACTGTATCACTGCAGCTGGAGGAAGTCCACAATAAGAAACAAGAAATGAAAGTGGCACAGCTTCATCACTTTACATTTAAATAGAACATTTTCTGCTGTATTTGTGTGTAAAAATAGTGAAACATTATTTCTTACAGCCGTTAAGTGTTCTATGTGAATCTATGTTTCTATCACTACAGATTTTTTTTAAATAAATAACCGACTGTCGTTTTTCTTATATTTTGGGGTCCATATTCTTTGTTAAATTTAGAAAGTCTGTGCTGGAAAAGAAACACCATGTACGTGGGATAAGGACAGTTTAAAATGTGCTTAAGAAGACAAAAATGGATGATTTTGTATTATTTAGGATTTTTTTTACTTTGTCTTTAAATCATGAACCCTACAAAAGCAGGCCCATGAACTGTTCCTGACCTACAGTACGTTCTAAGAAATGTTGAGTCTCGTGATTTTCCACAGAACGTCTCAGAATAGCACAAGCACAAGATGTAATAGCCGAAGTGTGTATCAAATCACAACAGAGGTGAATCTGCGAGATTAATTCACTTATTTTACGAAAGACCGCCATGTTTCCACAAAAGAGAGAACAAACGGTCCATGTGGTTCAGTCATGTGGTGAGTCATGAAAGCAACAGCAGCAGTATGGGGCTGTCCTGGGGAGTTACACAAGAGCTTTTACATAAGGGTTGTTTTAACTTCAGTTAATGCGGCCATCTGTACTGCCACTGACAGCAATTAAGCCATAGCTCCTTCTCACCACTAGTCCTTGTGTATGTGTCCGTGTTTGCACACAGGCCCGTTTGCCAAGCAGATCCTCAAGCTCCGCAGTATGAAAATGATTAAGAAAACCGAAAAGCAAGCAGGCAGATGGGAGGTCAATGAAATGGCAGTAATCAGAAACCAACATTGATGGCGGGGGGGGCGGGGGTTGTAGGCTCTGGACTGAGAATGCCACACAGGTCCACTAAGAAGCTTCAGACCAGCACAGCCAGAGCTGCCACATCAGTTCATCCATCTGTGAGAAGTATTTATCAAGATGGAGAGGCGATTATGCTCATATGATCTCATAAACACACGCAGTCAGTGGTCATATGAGCTTCTTGTGCAACAGCTGGCAGTCTCAGCTCGGTGCCAAAGAGGGTGGGGGAGAGTTTGTTTTAATAAAGACCAACCAGAAAGCCCCTCAGCACTCATTGAATACATTTCTCTGGCAAACCAAATTGTCAAATACTACACAGTGAAAGTCGCAGGAAAAACTTGAAACAAATATGACTATTGTTAGTTTAGCGCATTAGCACTCCTTTAGGTTTGCTCACGTCACAGATTAACACCGACACATTTTGTACTCCTACAGTTTATCCTCAAAGACTACTGAAAAGAAGTTGCAAGTTGGTTGAAATCAAACAAACAACTCCTTTGTCACCCATCTCTACATCAACCTTGACGAGGCAGCTAATCTAATGGATTTTATAGAGTAGCATGGTTAACTCAATACCACAAAGTGGAAGAAAAAAAAAAAACACGCACAGTAGAGTTCACTCACGATTGACATTTCTGTCTTGAACTGCTGATTCACATGCCAGTAAAAACCCACAGCGTGTTTGTTTGTTGTGAAACAAAAGGAGTTACGCAGCAAAACATCCCAGAGGAGAGAAAAAAAAAAAAAAGGGGCATTTTCCAATGCAGTGCACGATTTACCGAGGTGATGCAGGAGGCAGCGAGCCCTTTGTAGAGGCGAGGATGGTGGAGGAGTTCTTCAAGATTACTCATCTTTGTCGACTGGTGTTCAACCCAAACCTCAACCTCCATTTTGCATTTTTAAAAGCCAGTTATGATGCTATTGTAGCTGCATGTGTTGGCAACTGAAAATCATTAATAACTACGATGACCGTCTTGCGTAAAGTTGCAGTTTACATCCATGCCTGTTCCAGAGTCCTATATTGAAGCTATCACTACATGGACCATACACAACAACACTGTGTCCGCTGTGGAGACCTTCAAGTTTCTGGGACCCACAATCTCCCAGGACCTGAAGTGGGCCTCCAACATCAACACCATCCGGAAAAAGGCACAGCAGAGGTTGTACTTCCTGCGCCAGCTCAGGAAGTTCAACCTACCTCAGGAGCTGCTGATCCTGTTTTACTCAGCCATCACCCAGTCTGTTCTCTGTTCCTCTATCACTGTGTGGTTCGGATCAGCCACCAAACATGACAGGAACAGACTGCAACGGATTGTCAGGTCTGCAGAGAGGATCATTGGTTCCAACAGCAAAAAATCTGGGATCGACTGTAAACATCCAGTAGTAATCATTTAACTCTCTTTTGTCTGCAAGCCTCCATTCCTTCCAAAGCCACCAGTCTTGATTATCACAAAAGTAAAGTGGCTTTTGTGATTTGAATGCAAAGCCAGTAAAGTAACCGAATGCCATTTAGTAATATAGTATATTTGGCCATTGTGTGACCTTACTGCGAGTTGGTGAGCCATGGCTCCAGAATACAGGTCACTTTGATGATAGAGAGCACACAGAGTGACATGGTGTGTGTGTGTGTGTCTGTGTGCTGCTAATGAGTTGCAGTAAATGAGCGTGGGTCAGGGCTTGAGGGCATCCTCACATCATTAAAAGCTCCTTCTCTATTTCAGTCACAAATTTTTGGTATTAATTACAAAGCTGTTATTTATTGTGTCATTTCCCCGAGCCGTGACGTAAACAAGAGGGACGAAGAAAAATAAATCAAGATGGTCTGCGTGCACTCCATTCTCAGAGCTGTGGTTCACTCAAATATTTTTGCGGCAGTCCGGTGAAAACAACGTCCATCACTGCGGCCACAACACAGACTGCTGCTGCACCAGAGAGGTCGTTAATGCACATCGTAAAGAATAACAACTGCAGTAAAAGCCTCAACTCCACTCTTAATTGGCACTGTGCTTCAAGCCAACGGCCTGTGTCTCACACACACACACACACACAGCATCAGCACAACCTGATGGACTCCTCCGATAAAGCCTGTTGCAGTTCACTTCCTCACACACACACACACACATCATCACATTTGACGCCGCAGTTGTTCAAGAGTTTGGATAAGTTGTCAAACAAATTTAACTGTCAAACTTAAACTGGGAGATAATTTAACTGTCACAGACATTGTATAAATCCATAAATAATATGCAGAGAAATACAAACACAGGCCTGTGCTGCACTGAGCTTGAAGCCTGGTGATTACTTGAAGACTTTTTCATAAACACACTGGGAATAAATTATCATAACTCGCTTTCTTTAAGCTCATTGTCAGTTCAAATGGAGCTGCGTCATTTATCAACACCAGTGCGGTCTGAATATATATCCTGTGACTTCTGCTCTGCCTCCTAAATGTCTCCATAGCTATTGTCCCTATATGCAGGATTAATCAAAGGCATCGGATATATAAGTTCACTGCATTCATAATGCCTCCGTTAGCTGTCCCATTTGACTATATGCTAATGAGTCCCAGTTTAGATGGGATTAATTGTGTGGTTGGTGAATTGAGCTCTGAACAGACGTCTGTGATATACATGCTGGTTTGTCAGGGAAACCGCAGGAAGTGATGATTTTTAGACAAGCCAACATCTCTGGGATTTTACCACCATTTATCAAAATTACTCTCTCTCAGCTGCCAAGGAAGGCCAGAGCCGAAAGGGACAAAGAGACCCAAGGAATGACACAGAAGTGTGTGCACTATACGCACAGAGGACACCCAGAGAAACTTCCAGTTCTGTAAATCTCAAAAAAAAAAAAAGGGAGGAGCTGTTCATTTACAGTAAACTGTTTTTTCAGTACCGCCACCGGAGTGGACATGTTGACTCTGCCCTGGATTTACAGAAGTGGGCCATTCAAAGTTAAGTTAATTACTTAATTTAGTCACAATTCTTTCAATGAATCCTTGTTGAATTCCCCAGATTAGTGTAGTGACGAGAGGAGACTGATCGCTGAATTCCAGACGCAACAAGAAGTCGTATAGAACTGCCTTCAACGGGCCCCAAACCAACACGCTCTAAGAAGAACAGTTTCATTTGATCTCTTTCGGTTTCAGGATGACACAGCAAATAAGTTACATACACGCAGCATCACACAGGTATATAACTTCACTCAGACACTCCAGCTTCATCCCCCAAATTAAGTGATGCATTTTTGTGTGTCAACTTCCAAGTGTCCATCTGTCCAATTTCTACATTTGGAATTTGGTTTCAGGACAGGTCGGTAAAAGCACCAACGTTTCGCTACAGTCTGAACAAATCAAATATTCAGGCAGCAGGCATGCTTGCTTGCATAATGTTCTATCCAACAATAACTGTTTCACCAGTTGAAACGGCAAACATAGCCAGCAGCAGATTATATCAGCTGCAGCCCGTCGCTAATTAACGCTAATTCCCTAATTACCTTACCCAAAGGCCAAATTAAAACATGGTTATTGTTTATTGTTTTTGAACACAAAACGGCAGTGTTCATGCCTTCTCATCCAACACAGAGGCGATTACTAATCTCAAATCAGTTTTGGTTAATTATAACTTTGTTTAAGAAATGTTGAAAGCTGAACCTAAATAGATTTGATAAGATATGTTAAAGGATTCAGATTCAAATAAATGTTAGAAAAACGTCCTTTTCTGGTGACGGGGAAATATTATTCTTTCTCCAATAACCTCACAAGATGACATTACAAAAAGGAGAAAAAAAAATTGAATACTATAAAACGCAATGCATGGCTGACTTAAAGGGAACTTGTTAAGATTTTTGACACGATGCTGTCCAAGCCTTTGTGTGTATGTGTGCACGATGGGAGGATGAGGGAAAGAAAGAGTGTAAACAGAATGCAAGCAGGATAAGTACCGATTTTGCTGGAGGGGCAGAATGCAATATCTGGAGAGCTAAAGCAGGCGAGAAAAGTGCAAGCGCAG